GCAATGCTGAGGTTAGGGGCAGAGTTTTGGGTAATTACGGTCGCCCACTGGATCAAGTGGTCGACCTCCATAGATTACGTTGACTGGGACATGTGCTACGCATTTCACCAGGTAGGTTACCACGGCGAGCGATGTTCGCCGAAGAAGATACCGAGTGGAAAAAAGCCAAGGGTGGTCAAGTTAAGACCTGGCACGAGGGTATGAAAACCGTAACCAGGAAACTGGGTCACATAGGTCCTGGCTGGGGACCTCGGGATGATCGTCACCGATGGTTAGAGACATTGAGTGATATAACTGGGTGTCGTAAACAGTGGCGTTTGTGCATCTCCTCAATTTCTTTGCAATCTTAAACCACTGAATTTCTCCATTTTCTTTTCGACTCCACTTTCAACTTTCCTTTCTTCTATTCTTCATCCCAATGGGCAGCCAAAAGACAGCAACCAAAACCGGCGCACGAAAATGCGTGGTTAATGGTTGTTCAAACTAAGACTGAAACTGATTGTGCCCTTGAGCAAATCATGGACTTTTACACAGATTATTGTACCGTGGTTTGGTTGGCACAGTCTGTACTTAGACACGTGAAAATATGTAAAATACAAATCTCATTTTCCATACTTGGTCAGTGGCACTCAACAGCCGTGAATCAATCCACAATGTCGTTAGATAAATCGAAAACTTTCGATTGTGCTTGGACGACAGTTCTGTGGACTTGATTGCTGAGGTACATTTTTCGCTCAGAACGTTCATTCTATACCTTTACTGTTCTCAACTACCTCACTACATCGGTCCGGGTGGATAGGTCGATGTTTCCGTCCTTCCGTTTAATATTTGTTACTTAAACCAACACCTCTCACTTTAACTCTTCTTTGTTGTTTCTATTGTTTCCTGAGCTGTCAACCATAAGCACACCATTACCGGCAAAGCATCTTGCATTTTTTCTCGCTCCATCCCAAATAAGATTGATCACACTATTAATTCTGATCGTTCTCTCACTTCTATAATAATGCTCCCCAAAACATGTTCTCTTCAATACCGGTAAAGCCTTCCTCTTGCCCGTTTCTCCTAAACGTAAATTCTTCTCTCCTATGTCGATTTTCTTGCTTCCCCCACTGCGCACACAGTACCTCCCGTTCCTTCGGCCTCACACTCGTACAGTTGTAGGCAACAACCATGTGTGGGATAGAGCTTCGTCGGATTATCTTTATTCAGACTTGTTTTCACGTAGAACGATGCTTCTATGTGATTCCACTCTGACGTACAGTTATCAACTACTAACTCATCGTCGGGTCTCAGCCTTGTTATTTCTATTTGGTTTTTGTCTATCTCTCCCTCGTAGGTCCCGTGCAAAAGCAGATATTATGGAAATGACAGTCCAGCAAGTACCGTATTTGCTAGCTTCTTTAGTGGTAACAGTTTAATATATTGGACCAGCTACTTGGCAGTATCGTATTTTTATGATGAATTCGTCGTGTAGATGAGGCGTGAGCTGAAAAGCCGGGAAGTGCCGGACAGCTGTTTCGACCTGGTTGATTCTCATCAGCAGTGCGAATCCATGGACCCAGCTGGGGATCGAACCAAGTTATATCCCTGTAGTCTAGTGCTCAGATGAGCGAGGACCGATACTCGCAACAAGCTCGCATAGACAGGTTTTGCTATATCGTGTAACTTCAAATTGGGGAACGGTCTGATCAGCTGCCCGGCGGCCGAATGGGTAATATGCTTGCTTTCTATCTGTGAAGTCCCGGGTTCAATCCCCGGTATCATATTTGTTTGTGATAATCAGTCTCTGTTCTGGCTGTTAATGGTTTCACCGTCATTATTTTCATTTTCAGAACGAACTATCTAGTCATGTTATTACACTTCACTGTTTTCTTTTCAGATTCGTTGCACTGTGAAGTTTGATCTTCCACACGCCGGTCGCTTCCTCGTTTGCTGACATAAGATGTGATGATCCATTCCAGTAATGCGTCTTATCTGTTGTACTATGGTAATGGTATCCTAGTTCTTCTGACTCCTCTTCAGGGTCTTAATAGTTCGCAGCTAGAAAAAGAGATTGCCGATGATCGATCTCTCAGCAACGAACGTTATTTCGGTTTGGTGAATGTAAGCGTTCACTCAAAAAAATTAACTTTTCATCTAGTTTGGAAACACATGTTATTGCAATTCAGTTCTTCAGGCGTTGTTTTTCTGCAAACCTTTCCGTGATCGGGTCCTTCAATACAGACAAAGTCGTACGCAAAAGAAAGAAACACTGTTGAGTTGCCTGGCAGATTTATTTCATGCCATCACAACTCAGAAAAAGAGTGTGGGTCAGATAGCACCTAAAAAGTTCATCAATAAGCTGAAACGGGAGAATGGTTAGTCCGCAATTTAACCTCATTTCCTTCATAACAATGTTTTAGGCGCGTTCGATAATTATCTTCAACAAGATGCTCATGAATTTCTCATCTATATCCTGAACGAGATAGCCGATATCCTACAAGGTAAGGCGAGTTANATTTCCTTGCTGGCCATCCATTAGCTGAACAATCCTCGGGAGCATCACATTCTCCAAACCACAGTGATAGTCAGCTGAAGAACGAGGATGTGAACGGAGAACGTTCTCACAACTGGATTCAGGAGATCTTTCAAGGTTGTCTGACCAACGAGACACGATGTCTCACTTGCGAAAATGTCCGCATTAAGGATGAACACTTTCTGGATCTCTCTGTGGACGTGTCCCAGGATTGGAGTATTTTCCATTGCCTCAAATGCTTCTCTGACACGGAGACAATGCAATCCGAGAACAAGTATTACTGCGAATTCTGTCGGTGCAAACAAGAAGCTCAAAAACGGTACTGTTTATCATACTCCTTTTAGAATGATATATTCGTCACAATAACCTAGTTTGCAACGCCGGGTAAATTTGTTTGACAACTCTTCCACCCTCTAGGGACTGGTTCTGGAAGAGCTGTCCAAACAAATTTGCCCGGTGTTGCAAATAAGGCTATTGTGAGGAAAGTACACTTCCTGGGTACAAATATACGAATGAAAAGACAAAAGACTACCGGATACCCATGCCCGACGAGCGGCAAAAGTCGCAAAACCAGTCGTGTGCTTCCAGGGGAATTTCTTCCAGTCATTCACGCATTACTTATTCTAAAATATACATATATATTCTTTTTCTAGAGTAGACCAACATTTTGCTTCGGTTCGTAATGTTTCAAGTGAAACAGTTGGGGAGATTTGATTTGTTTATCTAAGTGTGTTCGTCAAGCAGTGACCAGGTTCCACTGTCGGTAGACCCGGTGGATATTCACTGTTGATGATTCCTAACAAGGACTAAACGACGAAACCGTTTTTCCAAGGCCTTCTAGTGATGAGTATGCGTTTACTCTACTTGACAAATGCACTTTGATAAACAATATTTTAGCCGTCTTTTGTTGCTTTTATTTTCTTCAGTCTTGCCGATCAGTATAGCCCTTATTTAGCTGAAGCTTGTCCATACAGCTTCACCATCCTGTGGACGGGTGTCCAGCGTGAGTGCGATTTTTTTTGGTTATCGGTTTCACGATCTTCACGCTCCGTATGAAATCAGAGAAAATGAAAACGGAACGGATGGAATCCGAATGAGATAAACATGGTCTATTTTTCACCACATAACAGCTGCAACTTCGTGCTTCGATGCATTCAGTGCATGTCGTGTTCATCGAATATTCCAATATTCAAACGCAAATGTTAAACTGTAAGGGGGGGAATGAACCTTATTCGGGAGAATCGTGGAGAGGTCATGATTAGCAGTTCGTTTGATGCATACTATGTGGACGAACGTATGAAGTAGAGCTCTATTTCTAAGGTAGCAAATTTCATACCAGATATGCACATGTTTCGGAGAATCATAACCTTGAGATCGGTGGTTGAACTGGATCGTCCCTATAAGGCTAGTTTGTATGTGAAGTAGCAAGTCAGAAAAGAGCATTGCCAATTTAAAAACTGTATGTGAAAGATGTTCGTTGGTGCGGAAATCCGATAAATCGAGATAAATGACGAGAAACCTCCGAAAATGAAAGACAAAATGCGAATAGTGTTATGGTAGTGTTAGTAGAATGGTAGTATAGAATCAATATTATAAGGTTACACTGCTTTATGCAGTTGGTGACATGATCGGAGAAGCTGACCGATTGCGAGGTATTATTAATATTGCCTTTAAAATTATTATTATTGCTTTTTATCATCTTCATCCCCTTCAAAAATCGGTTCTAGATAATTACCTTTATTAGTGTTTAAGTATTCCTAAAGTGTTTTCTTTGGTTATTGAGGCGTATTATTTTTTTCCAATTTGTAAAAGCCATTTTGATTCATCGCATTCTCCTTGAAAATTGTATCATTATATATTCAATACAAGGAAGTACAATAAAATAAAAAATAACTGGATGAGTGCTTGAGAATGAGAAACAAGTAATTGCTGTAACGTAGTATTAGTTTCTGGCTGCGGACGTGTCATTTATGATTGGCAGTACCAGACTCTTGATATCAAGACAGTGATTGAGATTTCAACAAAGTTAATAACAATGGGTTGGTGATAATAGAAACTACGATCGAAGCAAGGTGGCAGTCGAGTTAATCAACCGAAGGCAGCTAGCTCAACTAACCGGCCAGAAAATTACTGTTTTAAACTTTCCATAAAGAGCTGCTCGGACTGTTCTTGAGATATCATACTTGTACTGATCACCGGTTCGATTGGATGAGAGGCTGCAATAAACAGCCGGGATATGTGAACTGCGTTTCGAGAACGTAGGATCCGACAACCTGGATACCGCTGCCCCAATGAAATGCGATTTTCATACACTATCCAGCTCCTCTGTAGGTCGAATTTCGGCTAACCGATAACTTCGGCTGTGACTCCGCAAGAAAATCGCCTCCTGCGGCCCCAGCACCCAGGTAGCATCGTACTCACCATTAAATTACAGAGAGATTTATCCGTCGAAGAGTCTCATTTGGTATACAGTATAGACCTAGACAAGTGTGAAGTATATCATTCATAAAGTTGAGAGCCAAACGAAAGAAAATTACAGTTACCATCGATTATATTCATCGTTGCAGTTCAGACCACGATCGTTAGGTAACGCAGACAGGCAGTAAGCAAGTTTGAAAATGTATATAAAACATCATATGTGCTATCTGGATTGTCCAACATATTGAGATTATTGCGAAGACGGATACTTGTTGTTGATGAACTCTTTATAGGCTCATCCGGTGACAAATGTGTTATACTTGGCAAAGGTGAGATTTGCTTTGTGGTGTCCACTGTTTTCAGAAATGTATCCTAAAGACCAAATCTGATCGTATGTTTCTTTTCATCTACCCCTCCAACTTTTATCACTGACAGGATGCGAGTAAAAAAGCCGCCGTTGATTCTCGCCCTACATCTGAAGCGCTTTAAATACTCAGAGGAGGTGAACAGCTTTACTAAATTGTCCTGCCTTGTAACGGTTTCGACCGAACTGCGCCTGCCAAATACAGTAGGTTTCGCCATGATTGTTTGGTCTGTTATTCACGTCAGTGTTTTGCAGAGGATTATTATTTAGCCACTTTTTCCGGAAAGTCATAGACCAGTACAAGTAGGGCTCAAATGTGCCCCACTCTTGAGTCATGTTGTCACATTTGGAAGTGGAGTCCTTTCCAGTTCCTTGTCTATTCTTGATCGTGTTCAACATCAAACTTTCCGTCTCCTTGGTGATCCAACTTCGATTTGATCCCTGCATTCACTAGCCCACTGTTGCTTCAGTTTTCTTTTTTGTCGTGATTTCTATTCCGGGGAAATTGCATATGCAGTGCCGACACCCCTTCTCTTCTGTCGTCCATCCAGCACACAAATAGCAAGCCACCCTCACCAAGTGTTTGTCCCGACTTGTTATTCTTGCTCCCGGTAACCCCTAAACTGTGAAACTCCTTCCCCATCTGTTCCCTTTTATTATAATTTTCAAGTTCAACAAACTGGTTTCAACATGATTGTTCATCACACTTCCTTCATGTACAGTAAATATTAGACTATGAGATTTATCCCTTAACTCACTTTCATCATGTAATCAAAAAATCGAATCACCGTGGAAGACAAACAGATGCGACAACAAGAGCTTGGAAAGTCATCCAGGCGGTTTACAAACCACTTGATCATATATATTGTACCTAAATAAAGTGTAAAATCCGATCAGCTACTCAGTAGTTGGGTGGCAAGTGCGCTTTCTTTCTACTTGTATGTTACTCGGTTCAGTCCTTGGTTGAATCGATAAATTAGCGATACTGATGATACACAACAAGGTTGGAACAATTGTGCAATATCTCAGTTTCTTAGCTCACGTTTTCTTTGCTCCTTATGGAAAGAAATCATCCACTAATCGAATTAAATCTTCCACTACGTGATTGCGTCTGAAGTACACAGTCGGGCAACAAAGAACCAGAAGTGCGTAGATATGTTAAGAGTGAAAGGGTTGAGAGCAAGCGAAATTGATGACCAATATCAATATATCGTATTGTATTTCTTGTTTTATTCAAATGGGTCGAAGGGAAATAATGTTTCCAATATGTTCAGAGTCTCTCCTCTTACAGGCTAGGGTCCAAAAGACTCCGTAATTGGCTGGTTGGATACAGTGTGACAGTGGTATAGCAGCGAAGTGACAGCAGTGGCGTTGCAATTTTTTATCAGGTCAGAACACTTGAATAAGTGTCCAGGCACAGATTATGCGCTCTTATGCTGACCATAGAGGTTCGCTCTTTTCCTCATCCCTCAAAACGTGCTCGATCCGTCCATCTTACATATTCTCATTTCACATGCACTGTAAACTTGACAGCGATCAGTGAAGTTCGCTTCACTGTGTTTCGTTGTGGGACGATGATGATGGTGAGATATACATAGGAGTCGATTCATAATGTCGTCAGAGCTGGTTTGAGCGAAGTAGATCATAACTATCGATCAACTTTTGTTGTTTTCCTCTCTGAATTTTGTGATTTTTATCCTTCACTGACCAGATGCATTGCACAGCTCTCTCGTTCCTATTGAGATTCGGCTGTTTCTCCTGAAACTCGTTTCCTTATCCCCGAGATACACGGTCGTTGACGACGATGGCGATTTCTCGCACCCACATTCGTGCACAAATATGCCGTTTTCTGTACTCTTATGGACACAAGATCCGTTGTTTGAATTGTATCGGCAGTTTGATATTCTCTTACTGATAGTTACCTGAACTCAGGAACCAATCAGTCATTCACCTAATTTTGCAGTTTTTCTAAAGCTTGTTTTAAGTAAACATGACACTTTATTATTATAAAAACCTGGCAAACTGAGTTGCCACTAGCACGGTCTGATTTTGTTCCCATATTTATCCAGTGAATGTAACCCTGGGAATGATTTGTGCGAAGCACGTCAACAAACTACCGTCCATTTTACCCTTGGTTGATGAATGGAAAACATAGAGACTGGTAATTGCTGCTATTCCCGGATTTCGGTTGTCAGCTTTAACAACCGAACAGCAGGTCGTCATTGCTATAATCAGTAGCTCTTTTACTAGCAATCCCATTCAGATGTGTAATCAGAAAGAAAGGAAACGGCAGATCATCCCCCTACCCTAGTACCTGGAAAAAGAAAACACCAAATGCTCATATGCCGTTCGTTCTTCCCAAACATAACAGTTTATGAGCTCATAAGGCGTCTCAGTTACCATCATCGCCACTGTTTCTCTCCCTCAAATATGTGTGTATATATCCATCGCGCGGTTCGGCCTGCTTCTTATCATAAATTTTTTAATATTTTCCAGCAACTATCTCACAAGGTTCTAGATGAAACTATGTGGATCAAGTATCCACCTCTTAGTCGGACTCGCAGTTTATCCTTCTTGTTTGTATTCACCTTGCTTCACTTTCGTTGAATATTTAGCAATATTCTGTATTTGCATCACTCAGGTGCTCCATCTTTATGAATTCTATATTCAGTTGGAACATTTAAGTATAAATTCATGTCTACCTTTATTTTGCACCTCACCCGATTTTGTAGTTTTTTATCCACACATCTGACTTGAAGTTTCAATAAACTGTGTTTTCAAGACTCTGGATATCCAGATGCACCTGTGCTGCAGAAGCTGACTATGCACTCAGCTACACCATAGAATAAGGAAATCGGGACTTCATTTGGTGCCTGAGACGTCCTCATCACCTTGTCTAGGCCGGAAAAGTGATGAATAGCAATAAACTTGATGTCACATTTTCCCACGGATTGAAACACCTGACGCTATGCAATAGCTACAAGAAAGCATGACCTTGACCAACACGTCTGTTCCACGTCCCTGTATCGTGTTGTGTACCGTGCATCCTAGGAGGCAGAGAAGAAAAGATAAGATTATCGGTTCCGTTATTTTATTTCTACCATCATGACTTCTGCTCACAGGAACTCGTGTCCCCAGCTACGTCTATTCCTCTATTCTCTCGTCCGACCCACACGTAATTGATTGTTATCACTGGTCACGTTTCTGAATCTTTCATCTTCCGTCACCCTCTTGCACCTTCAAGTTTCTACCCTGTTCGCCTTACTAAAGGCAAAGTCCGCAAATGGGTTTTAACATGAGCAACTACCAGGCACTCTTGATTCCTGCCTAGTAAAGCACGGGATTTATCCTACAATTGATGCTTTTGTTTGTTATGATATAATTCACTTTTAGACGATGCATGAAGCTCTTCTGTATGTATAAATGCCTACTTTTTTCCACCTCAGTCGGATTGCGCAGCCGATCAGAATTGGTTGTACAAATTGATCGCGGTCGTGGTACACTCGGGCTCCGGACCGAATCGTGGCCATTATCTGACACTGGTCAAATCCCACGGACTGTGGCTTTTGTTTGATGATGAGGTGGTTGATGTGAGTGTTCCAATTGTTCTTTTTTCCTTTCTTCCATTGTTATATTGTCCTCGATCAGTGCGAGTGTGCCAACTATTTTTTGAGGCTGTTTGGAGCCTGTGCACAAATTTCAACTAGGACTATCCTCAGAGCGTTTCGTAATTTGTCAGGTGAAAACCAAAACTCCGAAATTCAGACGAAATCGGTATTTGATCTAAACACAAAGTGGTATCCAAAATGGAATGTGAAAACATTGGGATTGTATATGTGGCCAACAGTTTTCGTGCCGTTTCATGGTCCACTTTGACCTTCATCCTGATGCTGCCTAACTCGACAAGATATGGCAGTATGTAGGAACCGATCCAGTGCCATCCGTAGACTGTGCTTTAGATAGCGCGATATACGAATGCTCTCGTGCACAACCGCTGTTAGCTACCGTTCACACAAATACACCCCCATTACTATTATCAGTTTATTGGTACTGCAACATTTGACATAACTACTCCAGTCGAGGCTCAAATATTACGGGTTTCGTATAAAGGCTGATGGAAAAAGGTGTGCTAAAGGGAGTGTCTTTTGTGAACGATATTTAATATCCCCAGTGTTATTGTATTCAAATATCATGAACAGAGTTCACTTGTGAATGCAAAACAATGACTAAAGGTTGTGCGTCGAGGCTAAAGAATTGCGGGTTTTGGTTAAAAGAATATGGGTGAAGGCTAAATGATTGTGGTTTTTGGCTAAAGCTTTGCCAAACCTCGACAATACTCGTGCACCTTTTCCGCCAGGCTCTTGTGGTAGCCTGCGTTTGGCCGAGTCTTTGCATTATAGAGTAAGATCAGCCATACTGTGGGTACGTACTTTCGACGCTTCACAGAGAGCTAGATGTCATGTCAATGCCAAATATGTGCCCAGTTGATAGACACTAAGTGAGCCTTCTTCATGTTTGTCGTAACTTTATCCAGGATTCTTCTGCCACGATAAACGCAGCTAACTAAGCAGTAGACTGTGCCTGCTTTGTTTGCTGTTCCGTTGGCTTTTAATCGATTTGAGTTGGAATCGAAAGCTCGCTGTAGATGGCCTTCCTCAGGTCTGGCAAACTGCAATTAATGGCCGCGTATATAGGCTCAACGACTAGGAGGCATCACCCCATTTTTTATTGTTGATCCAAATTGAACCACCTTGTCTGTCACTCACCTTTAAACCAACGGACGAAATCTCAACATAAAAATGTAGTGCTATCCCGTCATCTAACTTCATTTTTGAATAACCTGAAAATCATATGCTAGGTTCTCCTCTTCTATTCTCTTCTCCATATACAGTAAAAAAATCGCATGTAGGAATACAAATACAATTTTTTTAAACAGTCAGGTACAAGTTCATCCAATCGATTAACTGATCGGCAGCGTTCTGCACACGATTGTGTACAACCACAGACCGAGGCAAGTAAAGCAAATTTCGATCGCTTCACAATAACACATGCAAATACGAACACACTGAAGTCGTGACTCAAGCCACCCGCTCGCCGAATCTCACGCTGTTCACCGGGCTTATTCTGTTTATAGCAGAATATGTTTTCACGGGTCTTTTCGGTTAACTTCATTTGTTACCGTATTGTGCGTCTCGGTGGCTGCAACTATGCCGTAGAATCACAACAGAGAGGCTTGACTCAAAATGGCATCAGTGATTGAAACCCAGTTCTAAGTGTGGGCTCAATCAGAGATTATGAGCCCTCCTAAATGAAGCGGTCTTATTTTGGGCGCAGCCTCTGATACAGAAGCGACAGAGCCGAGAGGAGGAGAGGCTGTTTTCGTGACTGTAACCATGTTATCTTAATCCTGCCTGTCCGGCTTGGATTCTGGTCTCCATGTTCAAGCCCTGATACCGTGGCGACGGCAACAAAAATTAATTGGGGAATATACCTTGCGTCATAGACACGAATGTCTGAGTTGGCTCAGTTGCTCGCCCAACGGCGTACTTGATTCTCGGTCGTAGTGAATTCTTGCACTAGCTAATGTGAGAGTGGTCAGGCTCTTAAGATCAACGACTGATCCCCTCTGAGGTGGTGTTCGAACCGCATCAGAGCGGCCAAACTTTTCCCTTATTTTTGCGGGACATGAAAATCCCTTGTTTGGCTGCTTTGTACTTCCTGATCGATTGTTATGACAATAACGCATTAAGTAAAAAACAAAAACAAAAAATTACATGCGCGCGCTCTGGTGACGCAGTGCAAACCTCCCATATTCTCCGCTTGTCCGACACAATTGTGTGCAGAACACATCTGCAATGAAATGAATTTCAGGTGTGAGTTGTATAATTCATTTTTTCGACTGCATACACATCACATGCAATTCTTTTCTTGATGTTCACAGTGCTTAACTCCATTAATAGGGTTTTAATTTCACATTTCTCTTGTAAGCAACGAATCCGGCAGTTTCTGGACGGAGAAAAACGCAGTCAATGAATTCATGACACATCACCCCATTCTGTTACTTTATTCTGATACAGCACCTAATACTCCAAATAAGTGACCTCAATTAGAAAACGGAATACCTTTTTTCTGAAATGTTTGAAATCACCACATAGTCACTATCTGTGCATATTTTACGTCGCATAATTCCGTGCTAAACGCTGGTTTCAGTCCTCACGCCACCTCACTTTTTCACACAAGCAATGTTCCATTTTTGTGGTTTAATTCGGCTAAAGGACGATACTGCTAGACTGTATGAAGATGAGAAATAGACAAAACAAGCGACATGAAGTCCGCATCTGGACACGAAATTTTTCCTAACTGATTGGGCAAAAATAAGTACGCAACGGTGAAACAGAACAAATAATTTAATAAGGATGACGGTCGTTATGACACCGGGGGTGAGGGAGTGTACAGTGGTGCAACCGGATACTCTGCAAATCTGGACTATTGAATTCGCAATGGTTTGCTAGAATATGCAAGCAAATTTATTTCCGGTTGTTACTGCAGTGAAATTAATAAAGTTGAACAGTGGTGGGGATATGCGTAGATACGATCGGCACGCTAGTGTCTGCTGGTGGCTAAGTAGATTCACTCAGATGATTACCCAGAAACTTCAAAGTAGCCGGATCAATCAACTCGCTTTGCCCATTCTTCAATTTATTGCTCCATTTGGGGTCAGTAAGCCACTGGGCTGCACACAGACATTAACAACGATTAAACATGCGGCACAAATCACATTCATCTTTTGAATCTGTTCTATTTTCGGTCGTGACCTGGTGACACTGAACCCGATTGGTTGCGAGTTCCATAACACTTTCCGCTGTTTATTGATTGTTGAATCACTTCAGTTTTGTTTGAACAACTATTACCCCCTCACTCGCTGTCTTTTGTCAACCAATTTAGTCGATTGATTTAGAATGCAGTAGGGATAGACGTATATCAGAAAAAGGCACAGAATTGGCGAAAAGTACGAGGTATGCGAACTGGGACTGTACGCACGAGTGTCACTGTTTCAACAACCATCCACACTATCAACGGTCTTCTACCTTCAATTAAACCGATTTTGAGGAAGCTTTACATGACTAAGTTAAATTGCCAAGAAATCCCACACCTTCACACCCTTTACCTTCTCCCCAGTGGTCTACTTCAGTGAACATCTACATCGAAAAATGCTATCCAGTGACCCGTGTTACATGTACCACACCCAACACTATCTATTCGGGTTGAGAACTTGAGTATGAGCGCAATCGCGATTATCTAATATTGTCTACCTAACCTCGGTATTGCTCACCCGGTGGTTCCGCTGGACTCGTGAAGTACGGCGTAGAACGCTATGTCCCAACTGCAATAATTTTGTATCTTTACCGCAGAACGATTGTCTTAGCACCATACAGTGTTCCGAACCGTTGCAGCGTACTTTTAACCGCTCATNTTTTTTAGCCCCACAGGGGCGTTCTGTAATCATTTCGGCCATCTATCCGGATTTCATCTATTAGATTTGGACCTGTCAAATTAGATACAAAACTGATTCAATTGTTTGCCTGCATTCTACACGTTTAAGGTGCAAATCGCACTTTGAATGTGACCACACTACTACTCGAACAGTTCAGAATGGTTTTCGACAGGGCCTTATTACTCTGATGAGCGCAAATCGAGTCTGGTGCTTCCTCAGCGTATGGTTTACTTGATGAACTGTGGAGTGTGCCCGAAAGTGAAATCTGCGGGATGATCCATCCATATCAGCATAGCTATTCGCCGAATGATTTTCCATCTGGGAACAGGTTGATATAACTTTTCTCGCCCTATGCTCGAAAATTTTCCAAATTTATATACCATACAGAATTAAAAGTTAGAATGGGACGGAACCTGACGACTGCCGATTCGTATGATAAACTCAAGCAAACAACGCATGTTCCATTTGTCATGCACTTTAAATAGTATTAACCATGGACTTTTTGGGCACGAGGTATTGAACTAGGTTGAGGGTCACTAAACGACCACGAAATCCGCGCTTCTGTGTTCCTCTCCGGAGATGTGCATCCAACCGAGAACATTCTTTTTGGGTTTAAAAGCTTCCTTGTCACCAACCTGTTCCAGTCCAAGGATTCACCAACACAAGATGCGGTTGGAAAAGAAATCTTACGAAGTTCACAATATTCGGAGGTGCCTCGATTAGACGATGGATCTCCTCAACCTCAGTTGCCCTGATGGACGCTCGCAAAACCATTCCATCGGATTCAAGACACGAAAAAGTGCGCAAATCCCTTAAACGCCAGCTCATCAAGAGTCTGAGGAATGACCGCGAGAAGTGGTGGGTAGGAAATTGTAGAGAGATGGAGAAGGCTGCGGCTATTGGTAATAATCGCAATCTTTTTCGTTTAATTAGGAGTACAGGACCAAGGAAAGCAGGCTTAAGTGAGGTAATCAAGGAGTCTGACGGCACACTGATTCAAATTCAGGAACGTCGTCTTGAACGTTGGGCAGAACATTTTAAGGCACAGTTTAGCTGGTCCCCTGCGACACAAGACTTTCCCCCATTCGATTCAACTGTGCAAATACTGCCAGTCGACATCAGTCCTCCATCTGATATGGAGGTTACCCGGGAAATAAGTTACCTCAAACGGCGTAAGGTTTCCGGCCCCGACGGGCTGTCCCCATCCGTTTT